GCTTTTTTTTTTTTTTTTTTTGAAGTAAGCTCTATGCCCACTGTGGGGCTTGAACTCACAACCCCAAGATCAAGACTTGTGTGCTCTAGTCACTGAGCCAGCCAGGCATCCCAGGAAAATGCTTTATAAAATGGTCTCAGGGAAAGAACATAATATAAAAGTTTATATGTGGGGCGCCTGGGTGGCTGAGTTGGGTAAGCGTCCGAGTTCAGTTCAGGTTATGATCTTGCAGTTCGTGAGTTTGAGCCCTGCGTCAGGCTCTGTGCTGACAGCTCAGAGCCTGGGGCCTGCTTCAGATCCTGTGTCTCCCTTTCTCTCTGTGTCCCTCCCCCATTCACCCTCTGTGTCTCTCTGTCCCTCAAAAATGAATAAACGTTAAAATAAATAAATAAATAAATAAATAAATAAATAAGTAGAACTGTATATGTGCTGTGATTACTTACACAAAAAAGTAAAAAATGATGAGAGGAAAAAGAATAGAGATAAACAGACCAAAATACTAACACTAACATCAATCATCTCTGGGTCATCAGGTCATAAACTGTTTTTTTTGTTTTTTGTTTGTTTTGGGGTTTTTTTTGGGGGGGGAGGGGAGCACAAGCGGGGAAGGGGCAGAGAGAGGGGAATAGAGGATCTGAAGCAGGCTCTGCGCTGACAGGCTGACAGCAGTGAGCCCAATACGGGGCTTGAACTCACGAATCGTGAGATCGTGACCTGAGCCGAAGCCGGACACAACCGCGTGAGCCACCCAGGTGCCCCAACAAACTGTTTTTACCATACCTCCACACATCTCTGGGTTATCCCAATTTCCCACAATTATTTTTTTTAATTTTATATCCATAGAAAGCATTTTTTTTCAAAGGAGGGAAAACCTTATGCATCCGAAGAAGCAGCAAGCAAGGGGCAGTCCCCAGCTACTCCCCAAATGCTGGTCGAGCAAGAAAGGGCCACACACGAGGCGGGCGACCACATACCTAGACTCGTGAGAGAATTGCTGCCGCCCCAACAGATGCGCTCGTCCTGCTGCTGCTTCGCCATCTGCACGGCTTCTGCCGAGGTGTCGGTGACCTGCGTGACCGCTCTCAGCAGCTGTGAGGGAGGGGGAGTGGCACAGAGGCATCAAATGCTGCTGAGCCCACCTGCAGAAGCCATCCCCTGCTTCCCCCAAGGGCAGCTGGAGAGTCACCAATCAGAGTTCTCCATCCTCACTCCTTTCTTCTGGGCCCAGTGGGGATGCCGCGCTATTACGTGCCCCATCCCACACTAGTGGCCCAGCAAAGCCAGGGCACGATGGGAAAACCCATGTCCCAAGATAACAGAAAGGCCTCTCCAGTGGGAAAGGCCTGTACCCCATGGGACCCTGTCGGCAGAACTGTGGAGGACAGGCCAGACGGAGGTTTGGAAGGTCTAGGAGTCTTTGTGTTAAACCGACATGGTGCTCGCTTAGGCAGCACTTAAGCTAAAATTGCGAAAAACCAAGATAAATGCCATGGAAGCCCTGAGCCAATGTCAGAGTTCCACGTGTGGCAACTGCACTCATAATCACAACCAACCCAGTGTTTTAGGCTGGACTCTAGGGATCTGAAATGTGAAACAACAAATGAGGAGGTAAATATTTATGTAGTCAGCTGAGCAGCGTGAGACCACTTTTTCCCATCTGTGTGAGCTGGGTCAAGAGCACAGACAGGCAAACGTCTGGCCGTCTGGCTGGCTGGCAGGCATAGTTCCTGGTCATACACAAGAACGAACTGGCCACGATACATTTGGGTATATCATGAAGACAGAGTGACCCCAATACAGGGACAAAAAAGCTAGAGGCTGGGCTAAGGGTCCCATATGGTCCACTAGGACCCAGCACAGGCAGTACACAAACCTCTTCTGGCCCCAGGGTCTCGGCTCACCTAACAGCCCCCTGAAATGCGGTAGGATTCTCAGGGAACATCCACGTCGGCCCTCCCCCTTCCACGGCACCAGGAGAAGCGCCCTCCCCAACCTGTCCAAGCCCCAGTCTGAGGGCCAGAGCCCAGCCATGCCAAGCCCGGCCCAGGCCCTTGCCCTCGTGTGTGCGGCTGGGGGCTGCGGAGGCAGCCGGAAGGGAGGGGGGGAGCGGGGCAGGAAAGGGTGATTCTTACTTGGTTGCACGAAGTCAGGGTCTGGTGCACGGCCTGGACGATGGGGCCACACGGGTGGAGGTAGGGGCCCGGGCGCCGGCAGCACTCACCCAGCTCGTCGTCGTAGACTTGGAGGAAAGCCACAACGAGCTGGTGGAAGTCAGAGATGACCAGGCGCAGCTTCTGGTCCAGGGTGCTGGTGTCGGCCCCGCTCACAGTGCCCCCTTGCTTGTGCTGCTCAAAGCACAGCAAAGCCAGAGGTAGAGGGGTCCTCAAGGCCCTGCCTGCCCCTTGGGCACCAAGTCTCCTCCCGCGTCAGATACACAAGACCGGAGGCAGAGAACAACTTGGTTTTGTGCAAAGCCGCCCAGCTTCCAGCCTCAGCGCAGCCGCTGCTGCCTGTGTGGGCCTCAGTCTCCTCCCCAGGAAGAAGAGGACAGGCCAAGGACTGGTGGGAAGGCCATGTGCAAGAGAGCCCGTGAAAGGCCAGACCTCAGGACCCAGTGCACAGCCTCCGTGAGGCCGATATCTTCCATTCTTCCGAAAGCCTCTCCACATCTGCCCAGAGTCTGCCTGCCTCTCCCCTTCACATGGGCTGAGCACCCACAACATTCTAGAAGCCATGGAGCCACCTCACTTAACCCTCACAACACATTCGCTGTAAAGGTGGGGCCCCTGAGGCGGGGGAAGTAACGTTCCTTGCCCTGGACACAAAGCGGGGCCCTTGCAGTCGGGCCCTCAGCCCCAAGCCCCGCGGCCCCCGGGAGCCGGCACCCCTCACCTCCACCCTGAGCGCCTGCAGTTTGGCGGCGCTCTCCTGCAGCTGCCTGCCCAGCTCCACCACGTTCACGTCCTCCACCTCAACGCAGGGGCTGGCCCTGCAGGGAGAGGAAAGAGGACGTGCCCAGCTGTGTGCCATCACAGTCATCGGAGCACCTGCCACACGGGGAAGGGTGTGTCCCGGGTAACGGGACCAAGTGGGACACGTACCTCTGCCAGGCACCGCTCTGCTGCCTAAGGAAGGGCTGAATGTCCAGGGACCATGGCTCACACTCGGGGCTCAGGAGTGTCTGCAGGTGGGGGCTGGAGAAGAGCTCCCCCAGAAGCACCTCGTTCTTCTCTCTGGTGTCCTCTAAGTGCTCCTTCACACTGCTGGGGCATCCCCAAGGCCACGCTGTCACTGGCCACAGCACAGCCTCCAGATCTGCTGAGGCCCCCGGCCGAGGAAGCCCTCAGTCCCTCAGGGGAGACCCCAGGGGCAAAACGAGACCAGGCAGAGAGGCCGGGAGACGATGTCTCCGCCAGTCCCTGCCCTGCCTTGGTGGCCATGACCAAGCCCCATTCCTGTGAGAGCCCGCCTGCCTGCAGGGACAGCGCAGGCACCCATGTTCCTCCGCAGGCCAGCCTGTCTTCTCCGAGGCCTGCAGAGCACCTTCACACCGACAGCCCGGCACCGTGAGCACTGTGCTGTTAGCACTGTCCCACGGGGACGTCCTTCCCGGGCTCACACCTCGCCGCGCGCCGTGTGCAGCTGCCACCACCAGAGTGGCGAGTAAGACCTCGGCTGGAGACGCACGTGGTGGTGGGCCTGGGTGCCCAGTGGGCCCCCCAGCCCTACCACCTCCAGATGGAGCTCCAAGGTGCCTACCGGCCATTCTGTGGAGAGCCCGCCCTGAGCCTTTACCTGGAGCGGCTGCAGCATCCGGCAGTCAGGCTCTGGACCCCATCCAGCAGCTGGTTCATGAAGCGCAACTGCTTCTGGGCGCAGGCCCGGCCCTGGGCAGGGAAGGGCGCACCCACTCACTAGGCCAGACGTGCTGGGGGGTCCCCTGCCCCACACCTTGCCCTGCTGGGGCCAGTGGGAAGGAGTGGCCTGCACCAGCAACTCCTTGCGCCCGACCCGGCAGCATTTTGGAGCGGCTTGGGGCCCACGGCCTCAGGGGCTGCTGTCATTGAGTGCTCCCAGCCTCTGGTGGCGATGATGCCCAGGACCAGGCTCTGGGAAGTGCAGCAGAGATATACGGGAGCAGGGCCCCGGGGCAGGGGCTGGGGGCTCATGCGGTTAAGCACAGGACTCTTGATTTTGGTTCAGGTCGTGGTCTTGCGGTTCGTGGCATCAAGCCCCGCGTCAGGCTCTATGCTGAGAGTGAGGAGCCTGCTTGGGACTCTCTGTCTCCCCCTCTCTCTGTCCCTCCCCTGCTCTCTTTCTCTCTCACTCTCATAAACAAATACACCTTTGAAAAAAGAAAGGAAGATACACGAGCACGTGCCCATCACACAGCCCACAGCACAGCTTCTTGGGTGGCCGTGTGGAGCACGGCAGGGCCTGCCGAAGGCAGAACACGGCCCACAGGGACTGAAGCCGCTCTGTTCCTCAGGAGCGCCCCCGGGCGGAGGCTTATTCTCCCTGCAGACTGACCTCTGCAGCCAGGAATGGCCTGTGATGACCCTTCTCCTCACAGGAAGAACAAGTGGCCAGACTTCACGGCTGACAAGAGCCCCCCGGCCTGAAGGCAGCTGGGATTCCCAGCAGGGACCCACCTGGCCAGGAGCTCAAGGCTTCAAGGAGAGGAGACTCACAGGACCCAAACACTTACAAGCTGAGAGGCCCGGTCCGCTCCAGACAGCCTGGTGTGAGCAGCGGTATCAGAAAGAAAGCCGGGGCCTGCCTCTCCGTTTTAGATCTTCCCTGCTGCTGCCCTCACAGACCCACTATTCTGAGGGATGCCACAAAATGATTTGCTCAGCTGGCATCACTATAAAGCCCTCCAAGAAGCATCTGCACTTAAAGTGGGCATGGAAGGCACAGGCTGTGGTAGAAGGGCTGTGCGGTTCCTGGCGGCATTTCAAGCCAGGCAGCCCCGGCTTGGGGAGTAGATTTGGGGACAGGAACGTGCTCTGCTACGTTTACAGCCCAGCTCCCTCTCCATGGGTGCCAGGCCTCGTGCCTACAGCTGCCTGGCACTTCCCTACAAGCCTGGCTCCCGGCTGTGTAGCCACGTCAACAGGATCAGTGGCTCTGGAAGCTTCTCAGTCTAAAACTGGGCGATTGGGCCTGGTCAGTACCTCCTGTTGACCCATTCTCCCAATCTGGCCAAGTGACACTGAGCCCGAGTAACATACCTGAGGGCAGCATGAAAGCAGAGGCAGAGGTTGGGACACTGTCTAGACAGGAGACAGCCCAGACAGAAACATGACAGCAACTATCACTCAGGACCTCACAAAGCCTTGACCAGTGGCCAGGGCTGGGCCACCCTGCCTGCCGTGCCCTCCTCGGCACAGCCCTGACTCTGGTAGCCCCCCGAATGCCCGGGAAGAGATTGGCATGCCTGCTCTGGGCTCTGCCAGCCCGGGTCAGGACCGGGACTGTAGTGCTGAGCCCACTGGGCGGTCCCAGCCTATGTGTCCTGCCCGCTCCCTGGTCACGCTCCGGCAGCCTGGGGCACTCCTCTCCTAGAGGTGTTCCATTCCATTGAGCTGCGCTGGTGATTTGTATTTGAGATGTAACGCACACACCATGAATTCACCCTTCTTAAGTACATAGTTCAGGGCTTGCTATGACAGTCACAGAGCTGCACAGCCCTTACCACTAGGTAAGCACGGGACATGACCATCGCTCCCCAAAAGCAATCCAGTCCCCATGAGCAGTCACTCCCCATACCCCATCCCCCCCACCCCCGCCAGCCCTAACCCCTAGCACCCACTGATATCTTTTGGCTTCTATGCATTTGCCTCTTCTAGACACTTCCTATAAATGGAATCTTACATACGTAGTCTTTTGTGACTGGCTTCCTTCACTCAGCATAATGTTTTCAAGGTTCGTCCACGTAGTAGTTTATTCTTTATTATTACTTGTTTATCCACACACCGATTAATGGAAATTTCAGGGCTTTTTCCTACTCTCTATTAAATAATACTTCCTGTTCATGTACAAGTTTCTGCGTGGCCAGTCCTGTGGGGTCCGCAGCTGGCAGTGGAAGCACTGGCCGTGAGGCACGGTTTAGAGGAACCAGCAGGACTGTCTGGCACGGTGACTGAACTGTCTGCCACTCCCAGCAGCAACAGATGAGGGCTCCAACCCATCCTCATCCTCACCGATGCTTGTTACTTTCCTTTTTGTTTGTTTTTTTAAATCCTAGCCCTCCCACGGCACATGAAGTGGGATCTCATCGAGGTTTTGGGGAAAATGTATTCAGCTCCTCTGCCCAGTTTTCTGTTGGCTTCCCTGTCTTATTATTATTGAGTTGTAAGAACTCTTTATGGATTCTGAATACCAGACCCTTATCAGATATATGATTGACAAAGATTCTCTTTCATTCTATGGATTCTCTTCAATTACCTTCAATTTCTTGATGTCCTTTGAAGCACCAGAGTAGCTCATTTTAATGAAGTCTAATTGATCTATCTTTTTCTCTTGGTTTGTGCTTTTGGTACCAAAATGACTTTTTAAAACTGTTATGAACCCATGGGTTTGAAATAATGTTGACAGGCCTCAGTCTACTGCAGTCATCATCCTTCCGATGCGTTCATCATCTCACGATGTTCCCTCTCTGGCCAATGAGGGCTTCTATTGATAGCTGCCTGCTGAGTCCTTCAGATGTAACTGTAAATCCTTGGATGCCTGCCTTGTTCTCTTGTGTAACAAAGTGTTCCTGACTCAACTGGTACATTTCCTGCCCCGGGCCTTTGTTACAACTGGACTGTCATTGTTCTTGTCCTTTTAAGAGGATAAAGCAAGGAAACACACACACACACACACACACACACACACACACACCACAACACACACTCAGGTTTTAAGTTAAAATACATTAAGAGCTCATGCTGATATTCCCAATTCAAATTCCTACAGGGTTTGACCAAACCTAATTATCTTATACCCATATCTCCATATCTCCTTTCTCCCATGCCCCCCACCAACTCCCAGCTCTCAACAATGCCAACATGAATTATTTTGTTTTTATTTTTTATTCCATAAAAAGGAATGAAGAACTGATCCATGTTCCAGCATGAATGGCCCTTGAAAATATCGTGTTAAGTGAAGAAGTCATTACAAAAGGCCACATACCATATGACTGCATTTATATGAGATAAAGACAGGAGAGTAGCGGGCACCAGGGCCTGTGGGTAACAGGGAGTGATGGCTTAATGGTCACGGGATCCCTTTTAGGGTGATAAAAATGTTCTGGAACTAGATAGAGCATGCTATGGTTGCACGACAATGCGAACGTACTTAACGCTGATTGCACGCTTAAAAGTAGTTCAGACGGTAAATTTTACGTTATGTGTATTTTACCACAATAAAAAATATTTTTTTAAAACAGAATAGAACCCTTCAGAGTTTGCTGGGAAATTTTTTTAATGGTGAAAATGGTAAATGTTATGCTATGTGCATTTTACCACAATGAAAGAATCTTTAAAGATAAAAAGGAAGGGAGCGGTTCCAGTTCCAGGTAAGATGAAAGGACCAGCTTCCTCTCCCACTAAATACTCACCTCTCAGAGCAGGACAGAATGTATGTGGCAGGTGTCTATAGTCTCAGAAGGGCAAGTATCAGCAGGCATGTCAAGGACACATGCCAGAATCCTAGGTGACCATCGAGGCTGGTGATGATCTAGCATGTTCCCTCCTCTGGTCTCTCTAGACCTGCACTCAGCCCAGCTCAAACCCAGAAGGGAACATAACAGTACAGACAGAGAACTCCAGAAAAGGAAAAGGAAACCCCTAACACTCAGAGAGAGTAGGGGAAATCTCCAGGCTCTTTTCTCTCCTTCTGCTCTGTGACCCCAGACCCCAGGCAATATCATGGCACTGGTGGCCGCAGCAACAAAGGTGGTTACTAAAAGAAAACTGCAGAAGCCAATACTCTGGGAGCAGGGAACCTTCCTCTCCATTCAGTGTGGTGCAGTCACAGAAGTGGGTGCTTTATGGCTGCAGAGCAGCAAAGGAGAGCCCTTTCCCCCAGGAACCAGATAGTATCAAAGAGAGGACAGGGAGTGACAAACTAGAGAAAGGGATCCCATAAATCTGTTTTGAATGTCTGGGCTCACCCCCACCCGTGCAGGGGTAGATCTGATCTCCAGGAGCATACCGACAAATGATCACAGGGGAGAGACCGACACCAGATCCCAGGCTGACAGTCAGGCGGTCCACATGCAGGGAGGGCCTGAACAGTAGCACAAAGGCTGTGGAAAGCGGGCCGACCCTGGAAGCACAGGCCAGAGAAGGTGGCAGAACGTGCAGCTTACGCCTGACCAGGTCAAGTACCTGCTACAACACAAGTATCAACATTCTTCATAAAACTCAACAAGACCCAGAGTCAAAGTCAACGTGCGTGAGAAAAGACAATGAACAGACGCCAATCACAAGATGGCACTGATGTTGGAATTACCTGACAAATTTAAAGCAGTCATTATAAAAATGCCAAGTAAGTAATCATGAATTCTCTTAAAACGAAAGTTAAAATAGAAAACATCAGCACAGAACCAACTTTTTTAAAAATATTTTTTAATTTATTTTGAGATAGAGATAGAGACAGCATGAGCACGGAAGGGGCAGAGAGGCGGGGGGAGGGGGGAGAATCCTAAGAGAATTCCCAAGAGAATCCCAAGCTCCACACCATCAGCACACAGCCCAGTGGAGGGCTTTGAACTCCTAAACTGTGAGATCATGACCTGAGCCGAATTCAGACCTTAACCAACTGAGCCACCCAGACACCCGAAGAAACAATTTTTAAAAAAAGTATCTTTTTTTAGAGCTGGAAAATAAGAATAACTGAAATAAAAAACTCAGTGATGAACACAATAGCAGAATTGAGGGTACAGAGGCAAGAGTCAGTGAACTTGGAAACAGATTAACAGAAACTATCCGATGTGAGCAACAGAGAAGGGAAAAACATTTAAGAGCATCATGGACTTGTGGTACAATAATAAAAGGTCTAATATGTGTGTCGTAGGAGGCCCAAATGGAAAGGAGACAAATGTGTGCACTGATAAAATATTTGAAGGAGTAACGGCCGAAAACTTGTCAAATTTAGTAAAAGACACAAACTTATAGATTTGAGAAGCTGAACGAATCCAAACAGGAAAGCCAAGGAAATATTCGCACAAACACATAATCAAATTACTGAAGACTGATAACAAAGAGAAAGAAAAAAAAGTTTTAAAGTAGCAAGAGAAAAACAATGTATGACCCACAGGAGAAAAATTACCCAAATGACTGCAGATTTCTCACTGGAACCTGTGGAGAGAAAGAACTGCCAGCCCAGTACCCAGTACACACCAGGAATAAAGGGGAACACTAAGAGAATTTGGACCCAGCAGACCACTTCTAAAAGAATTGGTAGGGGTACCTGGGTGGCTCAGTCGGTTAAGTGCCCCACTTTGGCTCAGGTCATGATCTCATGGCTCATGAGTTCGAGCCCCGCACTGGGCTCTTGTGTTGACAGCTCAGAGCCTGAAGCCTGCTTTGGATTCTATGTCTCCCTCTCTCTATGCTCCTCCCCTACTCTCTCTCTCACTCTTGCATGCTCGCTCTCGCTCTCTCTCTCTCTCTCTCTCTCTCAAAAATA